GTAGATGGAGGAGCGGTGCCTGTAGGCTGAGCCTGAGCTGGTCTGAGCCAGGCTGCTGACCCCCATGGAAGGGCGTCGGCGAGGTTTACCCAGGCTGCCGTGGGTCACGTCTGGGTCTGGACCTCTCTTCTTCAGGGAGCCGGAGCCGTGGCTGCTGTTGCTCAGACCGCGCCTGACGGGAGATGGCCCAGGCTGGATGCCCAAAGCGCTCAGGATGTCGGGGTTGTACCTGGTTGTGAATAGTAATTGTGGCATTTATTTGTGAGTTCATGTATACAGATATCCAGTTTCGTTATATCCTTAATCACTATGAAGGTTGTGATTCAAGTAATGAATCTGCTTATGGTCTGTGCCACAGCGTCAAATGATCGCGTCAAATGCGACGACGCGAAGCTTTTCTAAATAGTTGCCAGAATGGAATATGTCCATCTGTTAACTTTTCCCAAATTTACTTACTGAGGGAGTTGATGAATCTTCACTGCTGAGGGGTCAGATTCTTTGGCCCTGGCCTTTCGCCGTCTTGAGCTTCGCTTTCGTCGTGGACCGGAAAGCTCAGGTGGAACTTGCAGGTGTTGATTTGCTTGCTGCTGCTGCTGTTGCATCAGTAACTGCTGTTGTATTCTAACTCGCGATGCCGGGGAAAAGGTGACATTTCTTCGGAGTCTTTGTGGAATGGGCGCTAAGGCTGCTACGGGGGCACGGACTGACATGCTGCATGGGAAAGAGGCACATAGAGTTTCTTTGAATTCTACTTCTCAGTTTCGAAATGTCCCTTGTACCCACACTGCCATTTCTTTTAACTCACCTGTAAGCCCTTTCCCGCACTCCCACCTCGTAGTCTTCGCTGTCGTCATCCAGATCGAAGGCCTCGGCGAGTTCCAGGTGAGGGTCCGCGCGCCGAAGCCTCTCGAGTCCCAGGTGATCCAGATGGGCGGCTTCCTCGCGAAGGGGGCCGTGCGAGGCCGTGTGGTACAGGGGGGCGTGGTCCCTGATGCCAGGAGAATCCCAGGAGTTTTGCTGCAGGTACTTGCGGGAATTTTTTCGTCTGTTCCTCTCCTCCACGACCGTCTCGGCCAGGTATCTGTAAGCAGGTGGGGAGCTATGAATACTTTTTGTACACTTTCTCGAACCTGCATACATTATTCGCTACATAGTTATCGCTTTCGTGTACTGTACACCCACTCTTTTACACTTTTTAGAAATATGAATAGTTTTATATCACAGTGCTTATACCAGACAAACTATGTATACATTACAAAATTTGCCTACAGTGCGGGCAATCTATTCATGGCTTTGTGCAACAGAATATGCGTATCTCCTCAAACGTAGTTTTAATTACTGCAACACACAGTACTGATGTTTACAAAGGTCTTTGGAATTCTTGTTGGAATGATTGTTTTGGAAGAATGAACAGAATTTCAATTCACTCAAGACTATATTTGCTTCTACACTATGCATTAATATTGATCATAATGTCAGTGGCAGCTGCGTCAACTTCAGGAGCTTAGCAACAATGGAACTATTAAAATGGAATTAACAACTTCATAATATTGTACCAAGCAAGTGGATCTTCGTCGAGTTCTAAATGATGTAGGTTTTTGGGTTGTCATTGTTGCTCTGTTATCCTCTTATGTGCTTTTCTTTTACGTATCCGTGGATAACGAAACCCTGTGTGACCGCAGCCCCTGACCACATCCTGTTGCACGGACTCACCTGACGGCCTCGCTGTGGTGGTCTTCAATGGGCGGTCCAGCTGGGTTCACGACCCCGCCCACCATCGAGTTGTGCAGGTGGTGGGCGGGGGCAGCGTGGAGGCGGAGCTCATCGTCCTGCTGCACGAAGTTCCTGCCCCCGTAGAAGGTGGAGCCGCCGATGCTGAAGAGGTCGTCGGATATGGCCTCGTGAAGGTTCTGGTTCCTGCAGCAGGCCACGACGCACAGGACGACCGAGCCCACCAGCAGTAGTCCTGGGCGTCGGAAGAGGTGAAGATATAAGAAAATAGATTGGAAGATGTATTTCAAGCTGGCGAAATAGATCAAATTGTTTACTTATTTTGCCATGAACAAAACTTCAACACAACGAAACCGTGAATAATGCCCATTCCCTTTTGCCGTTTTGCCCTTTGCCTTTGTGTTAGATAAATGTCCTGGTATAACCTTAGACCGAAAGACCGCCGTGTTTACCTCCCAGCCCGAGTAGAGTCGGCCCGACCACTATCAGGACCTTGTCTTTCGGGTTCTCCTCGTAGGCGTGTGACGTCACGAAGGTCCCTACGCCCATGAAAATCACGCCTACGATGAACACACACAGTACGTAGGGAGCGCCCACCACCGGCCGTTTCTGGAAAAGTATTATGAAAAGTTAAAGTACATATTAATGAGGCATGAATTTCAATTTTTATGATCCATTTTCTGAAGTATCGGTTTGTATATTTAATGGGGCAAAGTTTGTTTCATTACTCTAATATTCTGTATGATATTTCCCCATTTATGTTGCATTA